ATGATACAGTGTTTCCTGGGTTACCGCTGTAAACAAAGCAGCGCTGCGCTTATGAACACTACTTTAATATGCATCGTTCAGAGGCAAGATGAAAAGAAAATGCCATCTAAACGTTTCTAAAGACAGTCAGTTCCCCTCAGAGACACATTCATATAAACTCCAATTGTATCGCGATTTGTTCAGCATCTCAACTGATTTGAATCGTCACATATTTGAATTGATTTTCAACCGGCTCGCGGTTAATCGTTACATCCCTAATAATAATTAAAAAGAAAACAGATAGAATACAAAAAGAATAGAGAAGCTAGTGTTAGTTTTTTAATTAAATAATAATCGTTTGCTGCAGCCCTACCAGAGAGCGTCTCCTGCTCCTCTGCCGCGGTCGACGGGTTCAGCAGATGCGCAAACACCGCGGCGAAGGGGTTAGCGGCCAGCGGCTCGGTGCGGTACATCTCCCACAGCAGATAGAGAGCGGTCAGCCGCTGAGGAGCGCTGGGAAGCAGGTCGGGCTGCTGCAGAAGCATCACCAGAACCGAACCCACGCGGAAGTGCTCGGCTTTCCCGAAGCAGTGGTGGAAGGCTGTGGAGAGCTGCTCGAAGCTGTTGCTGCAGGCGTCATCCGACATGATGCCCAGCAGATTGGACAGCTCTTTAGGAGCCAGAGTCATGATGCTGCAGTCAGACGAGCCACTGGATCAACGGGAGAACTGCAGAGACACGTACGAGGACAGATGAGCAAAAATATGAGTCTGCTGCAGATGCTCGTGCTGTAAATCAGTGAGATCTTTATAACAGTACAGTGCAGCAGATGCTGACATAAAATGATCTAAACATCAGTCGTCGCTCTATATCTCCAGTAATATAAGATGAGATGATCCAAACATATAATGCAATGCAACACTCTCAGACTAAAAGGTACAAAAGCTGTCACTAAGCACACTTTTGTACCTTTTAGGAACTAAATATAATACGTACACTGAGTCACTGACAACAACATGTACTTTTAAGGTACTAATATGGACACTTTAGGTACAAAGGTGTGCATTTTGAAAAGATACTGCTCCTGTGACAGCTTTTGTACCTTTTTTCCCCTGAGTGAATCCAGCGCTGATTGCGAGCTGAAGAAATAAAGGCTCCTCAGAAGATGTGAGATGTTCTGGAGGCTTGTGAAGATCATTCCTCCGCTGAGGAACAGTGAAAGTAAAGCTTCTGGAAACAAACGCTCCTCAAAAGATCCTGAGGATCAGATTTGAGACTCTAAAACATGATTGATGGAGAATCAAGTAAAGCTGAGCTGCTTCAGTCCAGTAAGTGTTCATCTGGAGATATTACTGCAGTCATTATATAGTTATAAAGATTAGACAGCAGTGAACAACAACATTTACCTGAGAGGAGTTCATTTATCAGCTCATGAATATTTAATTAGAACAGACGCGGCGACGCTCCGGCACTGATGTGACGTTTATATGAACGATTACACTGCTTAATATTCCAATCATTTGACTCTTTCTGTTTGATAATCTGAATCTAATAATTCTTCGCTTCCGCTCGTTAGCGCTGCCGGTGTCCGTGAGCACTTCCTGAGCGGCGCACGGAATCATGGGAGATGTAGTTCAACACGGAAACCAAATCGAACTTAGAAACTGCGTTCTCAAATAAAAACTGTTTTAAGTACAAACATAATATTAAAAATAATATATAATATATCCAAAAACACACACACACACACACACACAAAAGAAGAAAGCAAATGACCCGGATGTGAACGTGTGTTCCGCCTTGTATTTGACCCATAATCCACCACTCTTCCTTTCCCACATTCTCCGCACAGAGTGAGTATCTTCCTCTCATCTACTCTTCACAAATCCGGCATCATCCGCGTTATAAATGGCTAATAGTTCGGCATAGCGTCTCAACTGAGAGCAAAGGCACCTTATCGAGCGCTGCGACGCGTTTTGTCGCGTTTAAAACGCCGGTGTGCGCGATTAAAGCCTCGATGCTGAAGCGTCGCTCTCGAGTAAAGCTGTAAAGCAGCGCTCTACTCTGATTGTACCACAGTAAACGGAGTATTACACGCGAGCTGAGGTGACAGACTGCGCTAATAAAGTGTAGTGTATGAACAGTCGTGATCGATGCAGTTAACCGTCAGAATACGAGTTCTGTCATCATTTACTCTTCATCATGTCGTTACAAACCTTTCTTCTCTTGGACACACACAATATATTCTGAAGAATGTTGGGAACCGAACGGCTGTTGGTCGACATTGACTTCCATTGTATTTTTTTCCTAAATGATAACAGAAGTGAACCGCTCCTTTAATATAGAGCGCGTCACTCAGGAGGCGAGCCTCTGATCCAATCAGCGTGTAGAATCAGAACTCATTATCATATGTGTCCCTGCAGCACAAAAGCAGTGTTAAGTCGCTGGGGTATATTTGTAGCAATAGCCAAAAATACATTGTATGGGTCAAAATTATACATTTCTCTTTTATGCCAAAAATCATTAGGATATTAAGTAAAGATCATGTTCCATGAAGATATTTTGTAAATGTCCTACTGTAAATATATCAAAACTTAATTTTTGATTAGTAATATGCATTGCTAAGAACTTCATTTGGACAACTTTAAAGATGATTTTCTCAATATTTAGATTTTTTTGCACCCTCAGATTCCAGATTTTCAAATATTGTCCTATCCTAACAAACCATACATCAATGGAAAGCTTATTTATTCAGCTTTCAGATGATGCATAAATCTCAATTTCACAAAATTGACCCTTATGACTGGTTTTGTGCTCCAGGGTCACATATGTAATGTTACTGGAGAGCTCTCTGGTTGTTTTGGTTGGAGAGTTGTGCTGAATGTAAACTGAAGCTGTAGTGTTTGTGTTCAGATGGCACCTAAGAAGGGTGAGAAGAAGAAGGGGCGCTCCGCCATCAACGAGGTGGTGACCCGCGAGTACACCATCAACATCCACAAGCGCATCCACGGCATGTGAGTCCCTCCTGAGCGAACCACCGCTCCGCTGTATCTGTCCTGCGCTGTAACACCTGTCCTCCTCCTGCAGCTCCTTCAAGAGGAGAGCTCCTCGCGCGCTGAAGGAGATCCGCAAGTTTGCTGTGAAGGAGATGGGCACGCCCGACGTCCGCATCGACACCCGTCTCAACAAGGCCGTGTGGGCCAAAGGCGTGCGGTGAGTGAGTCTGGTCCCGATGGCTGCCGCGGTGCTATTGTGTGATTGTAATGTGTGGTGTTCTGCAGGAATGTGCCGTACCGCATGCGTGTGCGTCTGTCCCGGAAGCGCAACGAAGACGAGGACTCTCCAAACAAGCTGTACACCCTCGTCACATACGTCCCCGTCACCACCTACAGAGGTGAGGACCAGCGCTGCACCCTCACTCAGTCACACATGCTTCACAATCACCTTGCTTTCTTGCAATTGTGAGATTACATGTCGCGCTTGACCGTTTTTCTCGGAATTGCGTGATATAAACTCACAATTGCAAGAAAAAAAAAGTCAGAATTGTGAGATTTTAACTCGTAACTCCGAGAACAAAAAAGTCATAGTTCTGAGAAATAGTCAATTCTGTCTGTTTTTCTCTCAGTTGTGAGATATAATCTCACAATTGCTTGTTATAAAGTCAGAATTGCAGGATATATAAATGCATTTGTGTATTATGAAGTCAGAATTGCGAGATATAAACTCACAATTGTAAGAAAATAGTCTCTTTTTCTCTCAGATTTGGACTTTATGATTTTATAACTCACAATTGCGTGTTATAAAGTCAGAAGTGCAAGTTTATATCTCAGTTCTCAGAAAATAAGTCAGAATTGAGAAACTCAGTTGTGAGATTTAAACTCGTAATTCTGAGAAAGTCAATTCTGTCTTTTTTCTCAATTGCGAGATAAGAACTCGTTGTAAGAAATTGTAAGAAAACACTATATATTATTTTCTCTCAGATTTTGACTTTATAACTTGCAGTTAGTTGCGTGTTATAAAAGTCAGAATTGAGAGAAAAAGTCAGTTGCAAGATATAAACTCACAATTGCAAGAAAAAAGTCAGAATTGTGAGATTTTAACTCGTAACTCTGAGGGAAAAAAATTCCTAGTTCTGAGAAAGTCAATTTTTTTTTTTTTTTTTTTTTTCTCAATTGTGAGATATAAACTCAGAATTGCGTGTTATAAAGTCGGAATCGCAGGATATAAAAATGCATTTGTGTATTATGAAGTCAGAATCGCAAGTTTATATCTCAGAAAAGGTGAGAGTTGTGAGATAAAATGTCGCAGTTTCCTTGTTTGGTTTAATTCAGTGACGGACAGGCTTCCATGCATTGGTCCTCACACGGTACATGCATGTTAATGTCCCTCATGTTTAATCATATCTGACTCTCATTAACGTGTGCTCGGGTCATGACATGTTTGTGTTAAAACATCTCTTCTGTTTTGTGTGTTGGCAGGTCTTCAGACTGTAAATGTGGATGAAAATTAAGTTTCTCTTCATGCTTGTTGGAATAAAAACATAAAAGGATTTTGTCGTGCATGATTTATTTCTTGTCAGATGAGTTTTGTGGCATGTGCGAGTATAGACGTGAGACGGTAGAGAATAAAATCAGCAGTACATGTAAACTCATCAGCAAATAACATGGTTTAAAGCGGTGCTCGTGCATTCATTCAGGCTTGAGGTGTGATTGTATCTAATGCTCCATCTTCTGATGAGAGTCTGATAAACGCAGTACGACGGCTAGATTGGTCAGGACTCAACTCAGAAGTGGAAACTGAACATGAACGTGAATTCACTCTTTGGGTTTCACAGAATCACTCCTATGGCTGATTGCGTTTAAGGCACTTCATCGATCTGAGAGGTGCATTTAAGGAAAATCAGGCGTTCACATGTCATTCGTGATTAGGTGATGAAACTAGATCAGTATCTAGCACAGACCATCAACAAACCAGCTTTACTTTGCATGTTTTGAACGCTGTTGTTCCTCAGTATTTCTGTCGTGTCCCAGAGCAAACATCAAAATCATGACATTCGAGAAGATTCGAGGTATTGTTTTCTTTTAAATGTATCAAAATTAAGCGAGTTTCTGCTTGAAACAAGAAAAAACATGAAGTTAATTGAAAGGAAGAACAAGATTATTTTTCGGAACCCATTGGAAGATATTCTTGTTTTAAGCTTAAACTCACTTTTTGATAAGACTTAAAGGGACAGTTCACTCAAAATTCACAATTCTCTTTTTTGTGTGTGTGGCAAAATGACAAATCTTGTTTTTGAAATGAAGTGAGTTTTTGCTTAAAACAAGAAAAAACATTTTCCAGCTGGCTCAGAAAAATTCAATGAATTCAAAGGAGAAACCAGAATTTTTCTGACCCCACTGGAAGATATTTTTTGTTTTAAGCTTTTTTCAGAAAACAAGACTTAAAGGGTCACCCAAAAATTAAACTTTTTTTTGTGAGAACTTCACCTTTAATATCTTCTGTCGCTGTGCGTCTCCAGTAAATGTGTCTTGATTTAAGAATGCTTAGATATATGTACTGGAAAACAAGATGGAAATACTGAGGAAGAGCAGTGTAAATATTTTAACTGAAGCTTTCAGCATGCATCAGATTCGCCTGGTGATTCAGAATCGTTCAATAATAATAATAACGATCAGTATTTCCTTCATGTGAGTTGATCATACGGTCAGTAACATGTAAACAGTTCAGTCCTGTCAGACTTGGTATGTGTTTGAGATCTGCAAAGTAAAGTGTGCTGCTGATGATACACACACAGATTGCCTTCAGTAAAGCTGAGTTGAGTCCGGCTCCCCCCAGCGGCATCATGGGATTGTGTAGACGTCTGTGTGAAGATCAGGGCACTCGTGGGTGTGTGTGCTGGATCATCAGCAGCCCGGCGCGCTCCTGGTACTGACGGGGCTTGGCGGCGCTGATCCTGGCTCTCAGCTGGACGGGTCGCTCCAGGAAGCTAACCAGCACCGGCTCGGTCAGTAAAGAGGCCAGGATCTGCTCGAAGCTGGCTGACCAGTGTTCCTCGCTCCGGCTCTCGCCGCTCTGTCGAGCCTCTCCGATCTGCAGCACGAGGCTGGTGACCATCCCGATGGCCTGGAAGAGCTCGGCCTCGCCCGGATCGCCCTGAAACATGCTGTAGAGCGTCTTACAGAACTGGATGAACTGGTGCTGACGG